TGTGTTGTGTGACAAAACTGCACATTTTAGAGTGGCCTTTTATTGTCCCCAGCACAAGGTGCACCTGTGTAATGATCATGCTGTTTAATCAGCTTCTTGATATGCTACACCTGTCAGGTGGATGGATTATCTTGGCAAAGGATAAATACTCACTAACAGGGATGTAAACAAATTAGTGCACACAATTAGAGAAAAATAAGCTTTATGTGCGTATGGAACATTTCTGGGATCTTTTATTTCAGCTCATGAAACATGGGACCAACACTTTACATGTTGCATTTATATTGTATATTTTATATTGAGTGACGCTGAATGTAAAAAAAAATATTTACTTATCCCACTCTCCCCTATGCATTAATTAATCAATTATACAATCAACTTGACCAATCTAACTACATAACAACATTTACATTTTAGCAGACGATCTAATCCAGAGCGATTTACAGGAGCAATTAGGTTTGAGTGCCTTGCTCAAGGGCACATCGACAGATTTTTTACCTAGTCGGCTCGGGGATCAGAACCAGCGACCTTTCGGTTACTGGCACAATGCTCTTAACCACTAAGCTACCTGCCACCCCAACATAATGGTAATTATTTATTTGAATGGTAAATCTCTATTGATAAACTGTGTAAATCAATATATAGCCTAGGCCTATTCATAATAAAGGTAAATTAATATTCGATAGGAGTGTGTGCACGCATTGAGTTATTGAGCTTGCTTTGGTGGATGAAAAACAATCTGTTTCCTTTCCATTTGGGAGTTATTTTATTGTACTGCTCAACAAAATGTGCATAGAAAAAGCAATCTTTTCATTCATAAAAGTGCTCGCTGTCTCTTTAAGACCTAATGATGTTTTTCACATACACAGTGAGAGAGGAAGGAGAGGCTTGACTGAGGCGAGGAAGACGAAGTGAATGAATAAAGTTTTTGGCAATGACTGTAGGACTGTTTTAGTGACAATCATCTTTGAAATCAGCAGAATTTGCGTTATGGTTCGCATATTATCACAAACAAAGTACTAGTGAATTGATGTTAGCTTCAGCTGTAAGCTAGCAAGGAAAGTTAACCCATAAAGCCGGAAGTGTTCTAGTATTGAAAAAGTACTGACGTTTTGTATACTGTGCAACACTAATGCGTGTGTGTGTGTCTGTGAGAGAGAGAGTGTGAGTAAGTGTGTGTGTGTGTAGTGACCCAGAGCAGAGAGACCGCAGCCATTATGTGTGGGGTAAATAATTAGCCTGCTATGACTCTGCCGTTGGAGTACCTTAACCCCTGTTGGGGCCTGACACACACACTCACACAAGGCAAGGTCAGGCTCACGGGTGAACAGGTGGCCTTGCTCTGCAGTTGTTACCCTTATTTTCACAGCCTGTCTGACAGGCAACAAACACACCATGGAGAGGAGGACTGTTGTTCTGGGAAGGTGTTTTGGTTTTTCAGGGAAGTTGTTTTGGGATTTTACTGGAAGGTGCCAGTAATTAGCTTTGAATTGCTTGAGAAATGTGTTGTTGTTTTTTTGGTCAAAAATGTAATCACTGACAGGCATCTCTCACCATAGATCGGCCCTACATACTGTTTCTCACAACTGAAACAGTAGAGTAGACTTTTGCTAAATCTCTATAGAAATATAAGGAAACACTATAACATCCATACACTACAAGACCCATACTGCAATGGGGGCAATGCTCCAAAACCTTTGAACTCTTGATCAAACAAAACTACAGGTCACTGCTGCTGTCGGTCGGTGCCGCCCTAAAGGAACAAATGAAGGGTTTGTTCTCCCCTACCAACACTACAACTAGGACAGGGGGTAGGGGATGCTGCCTTCCCTTGCCCTGCCCAGTCCTTGTGTTGCCTCCAGGTTATGCCAGCTGCTCTCTCTGACACCCACCCACCCACTCACACAGGGCCAGGGCTGTAGGTCTTTGTATGGCGGGCCGACCGCCTCCCTCCCAGGCTCCCTGCCTCCTGGTGGTACAGAGCTCAGCTAATCCACCATGCATGAGTGAGCCAAATACCATCTGTATTTGTTCGGCAACAAAGGGGGCACTTGTTAATGACTTTCCGTGTCTTCACTGCATGGGGAGGGGAGGACTGGAGTGGAAGGGCAGAGGGAGGAGGGAAGTGGACTGGCAGTATGAAAAATAATTCAAGTCAGCTAGCTGAGCTACAAACTGGGGTCTGTATCCATGATAACAAACTAGGGTTGCAAAACAAGGTAATCTATAGCAATCTATGGTAACTTTGGTAATTTATACTTTAATAAAATATATATATTCATATATAGTGTAAATGTTTTATATCTGTGTCCATATTGTCCATGAGTTTCTAGTAGATAGACCATATTGTTTAAGAGACAATAGCCTAATTAATGAAAAAAGCATCTAATCAACAATGGCATTATTTTCTATTAACTCTGCAACTCTTCCAACTATTGACCTTTTCTCACAACTGCCACCAGTTTGGTGTCAATATTTACAACAAAGACATATTGACACTGTAAATTAAATAAAAGTGTGTAAAAAATATATATAAAGGATATTTTATGTTGAAACCCTCATATTAAACACCAATGGTATTCACTAACTTAATGGTTTATATTTAGGATAATATTTTACAGCTTTGTCATTCTATTTTTTATTTTAAAATCATCTTATTTAATTATTTTATATATTTTGCATGTAATAAGGCCACATAGAGGGCCAGAGATAATTACAGACACCTGTGATAATCTGAAGTACCCAAAAAGGCCACTAGATGTCATGTGATAAAAGTCCTTGAAAAATACCCAAATTCTGGTAGTTTACAGGTAAACACAGATAGTTAGCAGTAATATAATACCCTCCCTTTGCAACCCTATAACAAACTAACAAGAGAAAAAGGAGTCTCTGCACACTTAAATCAGATGACATTTTTAGTTGCTACGCTTTCGGTTTCTTCGTTGGAGCAACTAGCAGCTCAAAACATTGGCTTACCTTTCACTGTTCTGTTCCATTTAGAATACATTAGTGAGGCTTCTTGTTGGCTTCCTGCCAAGCAGAAAGTTGCTAGACAGGGCTGATAAGGCTATCCTCGCAGATAGCTACATTAGCTACTACATTTACATTTTAGTCATTTAGCAGACGCTCTTATCCGGAGCACTTAGTGAGTGCATTCATTATTTAGTTTTTTGTTTTTTGTTTCATACTGGCCCCCCGTGGGAATCGAACCCACAACCCTGCCGTTGCAAACGCCATGCTCTACCAACTGAGCTACATCCCTACTAGGTGGAGTAACATTCTCTACTAGGTGGAGTAACAACATCAGTTAAAGCTACAATGATCCTTGTACAGTCTCCTAGCTGTGTTACATAGGCTAGAAATAAATTATACTTCAAGAAGAACTTAAAAATGGCAGATGCTGTGACTGACCCAGTAGGCCTCTCAACGGCCTCCCTTGGTTAAGCATTACGTATTCTACAAGCAGGACCAGAGGAGTCAGAGGTAATGCCTGCCCGGTGGACTGAAACACACAACCGTGACTAAAAGTAAAATTAGCAGCTTGTCCCTCCATCTGTGCTCCTGTCTAAAGGTGCTGGGGACTGGAGGGTGGGTCTGTGTATACTGGGTCCTGCCAAAGCCTCCCAGCCCTGGAGGAATATCCCTTAGTCAAAGGGGGCTAAGAGAGAGAGAGCGCTTCTGCCCCCCTCCATCGCCCTCCCTGATCTAAGCCACATCCCAGATGTTAACACAGACTCTGATTCAATTACAGTACAGATCTGCAAAGTCTAGACTGCTGTTGTCATCCATGTTAACCTACATAAAACTTCTGAATGTACATGGCAAAAACTTTTCAATGGGGGTAAACTGAAAGTGCTGTTGTACCTAAAATGCTGTATCGCAAGGAAAATCTAACCCCAGAAATTCTGCTGATACAAAAACAGCGTTGGCTAAATCAATTCAGTTAATTTATGTCAGCTACTGTTCTATATTCAGAGCATGACAATCATGATGAGGCTGTTTTATAGAGTTAGTTACTTTGTCTGGGATCATGGTTTGAAACAAAGGAAGGCCAGGCAGTGCACATGTTTTGCACACTTTGGATTTAACTTTGACTTGGGCTAATCCATTTCACTACCTCTGCTTTTTAAATTAGCCACGGAACAAGCCAGCCGTCGCTGACTCCTCTTAGATCATACGTTTGGCATGCTTATTAGCTAGCCTCTCTCTGGCTGGCCTGACTCCACTCAAACCACCAACCCCCATAACCTCTATCTACCACCGCTCTCAGCCCAGCCCAACCCAGCCTAACCCAGCCCTGCCCAGCCCAGGACAACCACCCATCCTCTCTCTCCCTCTCTCCCTCTCTCTCCCTCAGCCCATCTGCAACAGCCGCTCGCTCGGCATAGGAAATTTAGGCAGCAAGCAAAAACCAACAATCCACCCTGGTGTTGGCCCTTTTTTTATAACCCGCTCAACTGTTAACTGTGTTCTTTGCTCTGCCATGCAAATTGGTTTAGATCAAAGCTGGCATCATACGAGGACGCCTATATGGGCCTCTTCCCAAAACCAACAGTAGCTCCCACAATGCAGAGGGCTTCCATGGTCTTTCTCTTTTTCGGTGGGAGAAATCCATGAGCAAGTATTTTTCTCTTAACTGTCTATTCCCAGAATCCGTATTCATTGGTTGACTGAAGATGACATGGCAGGCAGACTCTAGAAGTGAACAGATAATTGGTGTTGGTTAATTCAGCCATTTTGATCAGGCTAATATCCTTCTGCAGGGGAAAGGGGAACATTGGACAGTCCCCACATGTTCAGGCAGAACAGACACAAATATTTAGCCAGTGAAATAGATTGTCCTAGTTTGTCACTGACCTCCTCTCGTGTAGATAATGGCAAACCTATGTGTTTGTGTGTGTGTGTGCGTGTGTGTGTGTGTGTGTGTGTGTGTGTGTGTACCGGAGGTGGTCAGAGAGAGTTGCGTGTCTGAACCTGGAAGAGAGGAATGAAGGAATGACCTAAAAGCACGTTGGCTGGATGGTTGGTTGGTTGGTTCGTGTGAGGGCCCTCCCCTCAGGCACACTCACATACTGGTGGTATGCTGACTGGAATGTTTTTACTACATACACACACACACACACACACACACACACACACACAAACGCACAGACTCGTGTGACGTGTATTTGTCACACACACAGCAAGGGTTTTAACAGATGTTAGGGGACAGAGGTTCTGATGCGGTTGGCAGTGTAATGTTACCTGTGATGACATTGATGTCAGGGTAGGTGTTTTCACAGAGCTCCACTCCCAGGCTGTCCCTCTCAAAGGCCTCCCGCAGCTCCTTCTTTACTGCTGCTGAGCCACACAGACGGTAGAGGCCCACAACCTGCAGAAACACACACAACCAGGTTGAATACATACGCACACACATACAACATGCAAAAACACACACCTAGGTTAAATACTTTCCCAAATACAACCTGGTCATTCACAACCCATTCACCCACATACACAATCCATGTCTCAATTATCTCAAGGCTTATAAATCCTTCTGTTACCTGTCCCTCCCCTTCATCTACACTGATTGAAGTGGATTTAACAAATGACATCAATAAGGGATCATAGTTTTCGCCTGGATTCACCTGGTCAGTCTATGTCATGGAAAGAGCAGGTGTGGAGTAATGTTTGGTACACTCAGTGTATATTCAGTATGACATTCATGTGAGCATTATAATATGATTACAACCCAAAAGTAATGTCAAATGCACTCATAACTTAGCTATGACAGCAATATATTTAGACTACTTCACATTTGTCTGGGCTTGCTATCAGTAGCCAGCCAGCAGCCCTGGGCGGAGCATTTCACCCTGGGAGTTGAAATGCACTCTGGGAATGGTAGTATGCTGTGTAAAATCCATTGTATTTCTATGGTGTGTAGACTATATTGCAATATAGAAGCTTCAGAAATGAGCTTCAAAGTGTGTTTTCGTTATGTTGTTTTGGAACTAAACTACACTGCTCAAAAAAATAAAGGGAACACTTAAACAACACAATGTAACTCCAAGGCAATCACACTTCTGTGAAATCAAACTGTCCACTCAGGAAGCAACACTGATTGACAATACATTTCACATGCTGTTGTGCAAATGGAATATACAACAGGTGGAAATTATAGGCAATTAGCAAGACACCCCCAATAAAGAAGTAGTTCTGCAGGTGGTGACCACAGACCACTTCTCAGTTCCTATGCTTCCTGGCTGATGTTTTGGTCACTTTTGAATGCTGGCAGTGCTTTCACTCTAGTGGTAGCATGAGACGGAGTCTACAACCCACACAAGTGGCTCAGGTAGTGCAGCTCATCCAGGATGGCACATCAATGCGAGCTGTGGCAAGAAGGTTTGCTGTGTCTGTCAGCGTAGTGTCCAGAGCATGGAGGCGCTACCAGGAGACAGTCCAGTATATCAGGAGACGTGAAGGAGGCGGTAGGAGGGCAACTACCCAGCAGCAGGACCGCTACCTCCGCCTTTGTGCAAGAAGGAGCAGGAGGAGCACTGCCAGAGCCCTGCAAAATGACCTCCAGCAGGCCACAAATGTGCATGTGTCTGCTCAAACGGTCAGAAACAGACTCCATGAGGGAGGTATGAGGGCCCGACGTCCACAGGTGGGGGTTGTGCTTACAGCCCAACACCGTGCAGGACGTTTGGCATTTGCCAGAGAACACCAAGATTGTCAAATTTGCCACTGGCGCCCTGTGCTCTTCACAGATGAAAGCAGGTTCACACTGAGCACATGTGACAGACGTGACAGAGTCTGGAGACGCCGTGAAGAACGTTCTGCTGCCTGCAACATCCTCCAGCATGACCGGTTTGGCGGTGGGTCAGTCATGGTGTGGGGTGGCATTTCTTTGGGGGGCCGCACAGCCCTCCATGTGCTCGCCAGAGGTAGCCTGACTGCCATTAGGTACCGAGATGAGATCCTCAGACCCCTTGTGAGACCATATGCTGGTGTGGTTGGCCCTGGGTTCCTCCTAATGCAAGACAATGCTAGACCTCATGTGGAGGAGTGTGTCAGCAGTTCCTGCAAGAGGAAGGCATTGATGCTATGGACTGGCCCGCCCGTTCGCCAGACCTGAATCCAATTGAGCACATCTGGGACATCATGTCTCGCTCCATCCACCAACGCCACGTTGCACCACAGACTGTCCAGGAGTTGGCGGATGCTTTAGTCCAGGTCTGGGAGGAGATCCCTCAGGAGACCATCCGCCACCTCATCAGGAGCATGCCCAGGCGTTGTAAGGAGGTCATACAGGCACGTGGAGGCCACACACACTACTGAGCCTCATTTTGACTTGTGTTAAGGACATTACATCAAAGTTGGATCAGCCTGTAGTGTGGTTTTCCACTTTAATTTTGAGGGTGACTCCAAATCCAGACCTCCATGGGTTGATAAATTTGATTTCCATTGATAATTTTTGTGTGATTTTGTTGTCAGCACATTCAACTATGTAAAGAAAAAAGTATTTAATAAGATTATTTCATTCATTCAGATCTATGATGTGTTGTTTAAGTGTTCCCTTTATTTTTTTGAGCAGTGTATATAGTTTAAATGAGTAATGAATCATAGGTCTAATGATTGTCATTTGCCCAATATTGTGGCCACAGATGAGCAAATTAACCTTGATATGTATATAATTACATTTCTACATTTTTTTTAGATGTAATTGTACAATTATTTGTATGCTCTGAGTCTCAGATATGGTTTTGCATAAGGAAAACTGGAGATGTTCTTCTGTTATTTTATATGGTGTTTAATTTTTGAAAGAAATTGAATATAGAATAGAATATATTCTATTTGTTATTTTAGTTATACCAGTTATCAACATATTGTTTAATGTTTAAAAAAAGAAAGCCCAGTGGTTATTCTGTGACTTTAGATAATCCTTTTTTTATTTTTTATTTTTTGCTTTGGTATCATTTTGGTATTGAGCAATGTTTCAGTATCGAGTATCGTGATACTAAACCTGGTATCGGTATCGAAGTAAAAATTCTGGTATCGTGACAACACTAAACCGGATACAGTATCTATAGTTTTTTCAGGCCTACAGGCTCCAACCACACGTCTACACAGGCTACTAGCCACACTGTTTGTGACTGAGATCTCTCTGTTCTGTCTAGCATTTCTAAACCTCACTCCCTCACACTAGAGGCAGATTAGGCAGGGATTTAGCTTTGTGCAAAAGTAAACAGAAGTCACTGGGCACAATGAACAACAAGTCCATTGAGAGAAAGCTCTTCCTTTAGTTTAGGGTAAGTAGAAGCTCTGAGGAGAGAGCAGAGCAGAAGCAGGCGGTGGTGTGACAGCTGGTAGTGAAGAGGCCTTGGCCTTATCTACTGCACTGCTGAGCAACACACACACACACCTCAATAGGAAATAATGGTCTGTCCTCGCCTTTAATTAGAAACAACAGAATGGTTTCCTGTGGTGAGTCAGGGACTTCCTGAATGAGCGAGCATGCACACACACACACACACACACACACACAGACACAAACAGTGCCTTGTTGGACCCCTAACTAAGCCGATCAGTAGGGATGGGGATCTTGACAGGTTGCAAAAAGATGGTTGCACCTGCACCATTCACAGACTTCTGACCCCTCGTAGCTTCTAGCAAAACAATGCAAGCACTACAATTCACAAAATCGTATTTTATACTTTGCCAACTGACTTTTTACTTGAGAGAAAACAACTAGTGCAGCTGATATCTGGTATCTGGTAAAGATACTGTGCTTTCTTAAAGGCATCTGACTCTACCAAACACAAAAAAAACGCATTATAGCATCCACACACACATTACTCGCTTCTGTGAAACCAATCTGCAGTCTTTTCAGAACAGCCACAATCATCCCCCAAGTGCCTTAAAAGCTTCAGAGCCCCTCGGGCCATGCATTTGTGGAGACACTGAAACGAGAGTAGTCTCCATCTAGGGATACACATAATTATTTCTAAAGACATGCTATGCTGTGTGTCTGGCTCTCTCTGCATGCCTCAGTAACACGTCCTATGAATTCCTGTGTAATCTGGTGTAGCTTCCCTCCTAACCCCTCTCAGCCTGGGCCCCTGGGGGACCACAGGGTGAAGATGGCTCCAAACTGCATCTAGTGATACATAGTCATATCCCCTTACACTAGCTCTACTATGTCTCTGACGTATGTTTGTCTCTTTAAACAACAGAGAAAGAGAACATGAGAGAGAAATGAGAGAGCATGGAGAGAGTGAGAGAAGGAAAGGGGGAGAGAAAAATAAATGGAGGCGTACAAAGAAAACACAGCTAATAAATGAACTTGGCCAGTGGCTAAAACCATTAGCACATAGAAAACTGACTGGCCCAAATGCACAGCCACCCCAGTTAGGGACAGTCCCATGGCATGCTCAGTGTCTAAGCCAGACAGCCCCTTCAGAGTAACACTGATAAACATCCTCAGCCAGACACTTTTACTGCTGGGTGGCATCTCAACTAATAAAAAATAAAAAAACCTGGAGTCTCTCTCCTTTGGCACTGGGCTTCAAAGAAGAAGAGGGGAAGAGGAGGTAGAGGGCAGTTCTCATATGGCACATCTGCAGCCAGCCGCCCAATACCCCTGCTGCACGTCTCGCCCTGTTCCATCTCTCTCTCTCTCTCTCTCTCTCTCTCTCTCTCTCCCTCTCTTTCTGCATCACACAAAAGGCCACTTGCCAGATGAAAAAAAGAAGGCCTGTTATGTGATGTATGGTGTCTAATGTCTACCACTCAACTAGCATCATCCAGAACTCGCCTCTGGACATGTTCCTCTCTCACAGAATGCTGAGTAACCAGGCCACTCACTCAGCTTGATGGGTGTCGCAATATAATAGCACTGTACCGGCTATTCATTGCCAAAATTGGTAGTTGGCTAACTAAGAAAGTCCAAGGTCTATATCAGGGTTCCCTGAAAGTCCAATGCCCGTGGGCTGAATTTTCATTGTTGGACATAAAAGGCTGTAAAAACATTTAAAACTTTCAACAGTAACACTCATGAACTGAACTCACCTGGCAGCCTCTCGTCTCGATCTCCGTGATGCACTTCTCGATGAGCAGGGGCAGCATGAGTCCCGTGTTTTCCCTCTCCACCACCCTCCAGGCCTCCACCCCAAACATCTGTGGCTCCCGGTCCCCATTGTAGCCTCTATCCAGGGAGTTCTGCCACTGCTCCATCAGGTTCAGCTTCACGTAGATCAGGCCTCGAGGCTCCAGCTTCACCGCCAGCTGATGACTCCTGGTCACCCTGAAGAGAGCCGGTAACACCACTGTGCCGTGACAGCACACCCGGTTCTTCTTGGGTGTGGGGTCCCAGCTGAATACCACTAGCTTCAGGTGCTGAGCATTCTCCAGCTCAATATTGAAGGTGTGGTCCATATCTAGGAAGGTGGTCCGGCAGGTGAGCAGGGCAGTGCGCGCCTTGTTGACCGAGTCCACCTGGATGGCACAGTAGACGTCTCGGGAGTCGAAACGTGGTGGCTTGAGGTCCTCGGCGCCGTAGAAGTGCAGGCTCATCAGGCCCGAGATGTATTGGGTGCACTTGGGCTGTTCTGTGAAGGCGTAGTGGCGGAACGCGTCAATGTCTAGTTCTGTGCCGTGCAGCTTGGGGTTGCCACCTCCTACTGTTACTCCTCCAGCTCCTGTTTTCTCTCCTCCTCCAATGGCTGGGTCTTTCTCCTTCCCATTGCCTCCCTTGCCCTCTGAGGACCCGTGCTTCCCAGACTTGGCCACCAGTTCTGGAGAGTCCCCGTCACTGAGGTAGCCCCCCTTGCTAGCCGACTTGGAGGTCCCGCTGCCCTTCTTCTTGCTGTAGCTTTGTTGCGTCGACACACTGCTGTCCAGGTGATACCTCGAGATCACATTATGGCTAGCCGCCGCCCCCTGCCCGCCCCCTGGGGACAACCTGGGAGGAGCCAGGCCTGGTTCTGACACACTATTGGTTTTGGGACACTGGGTCCTTGTCTCTGAGTGGCTGCTCGCGCTGGCTCCGTTGCAGCTGCTGTTGTTGTTGTTGCTAGGGGTCCCTTTGATGCTGAGCTTGCGGCTGAGTTCCGGAAGCTTCTTCATTTTCATGGAGAGTTTCCTGACGGTGCGTGGGGACTTGATCTTGTTGAGGGAGCTTCCCTTTTTGGCAGGGTTGGGGCTGGAGGGCGGCGAGAAGCCAGGGATGGCCAGGTCAGGGGCTTCTGCTGCAGGGAAACAACCAGGACAGAGAGAGGGGTAGAGATCATGTTAAACTCATAGAGGTCACCAGAGAAAATACACCAAGATAATAGACACAACACTCAACCTCGAGACACTAAAGAAGGGAACTGGAAAGATTTCTAGCCATGTACTTACTGTATATGTCAGTTTTTAGCTTATCACCTTTTTTAGCAAAGATCAGACACCTGACAGTTAGACAGGGGTTGAAATGAGACTAATATGGGACTAAATTCAATCGCTTTGCACCGTTGGCAACCGCTTGCATGCCAGACCAGACCATGACAAACTTCACCATTGAAAAAATAGGTCAGCCCTTAGCTAAGAATGAACTCTAGTGATGTGGTTAATTGAATTAAATGCTGGGGAAATTCAAATTAGCAAAGGTGCAAGCTAGCTACGTCTGAAAAAACTTCTACACAAAGAGGAATGCTTCACAGCTCAGGGCTAACATTACTGAAGGGAGTCCATTACTCTAGCTGTAAACATATCCATTAAATGGGTATAGATACTGTACGTGTGGTATGCATTTATAAGTTGCCTAACAGGAATATGAAATTGCAATCAGGTATGTTAGTCAGATCCAGGACAGAAGCTCTGTGGCCAGAGTGAGAGTCTAGTAGAAAGAAAGCCTCTGAAGTGGGACTGTCACTGGCCTTCAGCGCGCTCTGCCTGCTTCCTTCAATCCATCCAGTCATACAAACTCTGTTTCTACAACAACAACCCCTCTTGACAAATACAATTCTATTATTTTGTTTCAGTAGAAGTTCGTCAGGTTAAAATAATCCATCTGGTCCAGCAGCCAGCGCTGAGCAGGGTGTACAGAGAGGACATGGACAGGGGAACTCTCACCCCTCAGCCTCAAGCCGGGCTAGCTACAGTTTAGATCAGGGATGGGCAACTTTGAAGCAAGTTTGCTGCAATTCTACACATTTTGCCATAGGGTGGAGAGAAATGTTTGCAGTTTTTAATATGATATCTGAGTGAGAGTGACTAACAAAATCAATGGGGTAATTTGATAACAAGTTTAGATAGCTGGCCGCTAAACTAACTTAGCAATCTAATAAATGTTAACTGACTGACTATCGGTGACTGACATAACAAAAGAGAAAAACTGCTGATGCACAACCACATTTGGAAATGGCACCTTGTGTATTCTATTATTCTACTTCTTCTTCTATGGTATATTGGCGATCACACAATTTAATGTGCATCCCGCTACCTACTATGCGGGATGGAAACAGGATTCCCAAAAAAACGGAACTTCCAAAAAATGACCATAAAATAAAGAAATCAAAGAAATCAAACTCATCTGTTAAAAATAAATAAAACAGATCTGATCCCTACACAGGCTCAAGGGGAACCTGGGAGGGCGGGTCTTCCGGCGCCAGTACCCCTTGCAAGTCTTTCGATGTAAAATCCTTGAGTCCCAAAAACGTTTCTGCTGCAGCCACAGTAATATCTAGTTTCTTCAACTTTTTTGAGACTTGTGCTGTACAGTTTATAACTGTGGCAATGAACGCAACAGAATCCACCTTTTAACACACAGGGTATCTTTTGTCTGGCAGCAAACATTTACTACAGGCTGTGGTGTATCCAATTCTACTATTCTAACTCATCAGTAAGTTCAGACCCTGACTGAGTTCCTGGGGGGGGGGGGGGGATTGATCCGAGGGCCTTCAAAAGGAAAGGAGAGGGAGAGTAAAAGAGAGGCAAGATAAAGTAGAAAAGAGCGATAGAGCGAGAGAGGGAATAGGAGTAAAAGAGAGAGGAAGAGAGTAAGAGAGAGAGAGATGAGAGTAATTTTTTTTTAAAGAGTAGAGAAGAGGGTAGTATGACCTGTCAACATCCCCTGCTCTATTTTCAGAGAGGCCTGCTGTGCTATTCTGGAGAAAGTGATAAAGGGTTAGCATGCTTTGGTTCGGCTGGCGCCTAGCTGAACTCGGTTAGGCGAACCGAACGAGTGTGCTCGCATACTCCCTTAAAATACCTGTTTATCCATCTTGAGACGCCGGAGCCTGTATACATTTCCTCAAAATAGTCTGAATGAATCTAAGATACTGTAACTCAAGAAATCTGTCATTAATTTTGACGTTTTTGCCAAGGAGATCTTAATCGCACAATTTTACATCTAACTAAAATGTTTGGTGCAGTATTTCTCAAGTAAAAATGTTTGCATGAAAACTAGTCATCTATCGTTGAATAACAACAAAAACTTCATTGAAGAATCCCTACTGTTGACCGACGAAAGGGCAGACTTCGGCTACGAAATTCGGCTTGCCTTGAGAAAAAAGATTTGCGTGCACGAACAGCCGAAAAAACCCTTGCCGAAGAACCAAAACGAACAAAAACGTCACAAAATGTCGTCATTATATATGCACGAAATGTTCCAAACTGTTTCTGATGGGAATCATGTGGACGCCTTAAGAGGGAGGCAGGGAGTGGGCAGATGATGCGTAAGAGGGAGGCAAGGAGGGGCCAGAAGAGGTGTCAGAGTGTGTAGAAAGGGGGTAAGATGGGGGCAAGAGTAGGGCAGGGTGGGGGGGGGGACAAAGGCACCCCTTGTCCTGCGAATCAGAGGCCTGGCCAGTGAAAGGGGGTGTTATCTGACATTCCATAATAAACCACGTTTAGCCTTCCTTCCATTTCCTCTGGCTGCTGAATATACTTCTCTGTTAGCTAGTGCTTCCTCACAATAACAAACACCAACACAGAGAGGGGAAAGAGCCTCTGGAAGAAGTGCCAAACAACATCTAAGGTGGGGCCAAGTCCCAGATACTGAGGTTTAGGTTTGGCCAAACTCACGACTCACACTGAAACCACTGGAACACACTTTTGACCAATCAGATTGCGTACCTGAAACTAACCATTTCATAATTCCCCATAATTCCCCCATAATAAAACACTTGTTAAGTGTCTGTTCAAAATCATTGTCTGATTTTATATCTGTTTTCAGATTAGTACATGTGGAAATGTCTATGGCAATTATCCAAAATCGAATGGTATAAACAGAACCGTCATCCACAACAGCCAACCGGGTCAAATCCGGTGGATATAACATTTACCAAGTAGAATAATCTTACCTAAAAAACTATTTCCAACGACTACAGTGCTGTTCTCCATAGTTCCCTCACAGCTCCCTTCTGTAGCCATTCCCCCTCTGGCAACAGCAACAGCAACAGCAACAGCAACAGCAACAGCAACAGCAGAGACAGAGGGAAAGACACCCGACACCCTCTACCTGATGTTCAGGGGCACTGATTGATACTTAACCTCGGGGGGCCATGTTCATAGGGTCAAAGGGCGAAGGGTTGCATTCCACCCGCTGGAACCGGAGCTGGGTGACCAGTGTCGCCCCCTCCACCCCTCTCGCCCGCGTACCCTCTGTGACCCCCAGGCCCACCCCAGGCAGCCTGCCACTGACACCTCTCACAAAGAGCAGGATTTTATGGCCCTTGGCTTGATTGCCTTTAATAAAGTTCTGGGCCCAGACTGCTGCTAAGCGAGGGAACGATGTATTTGTGTGGAAGGAGTGTGTGTGTGCAGGTTTTTCCTGGATAAAAATGGGGCTTAGGTGGTGAGCGAAGGTGGGGGCGTGGCCATGGGTGTGGCCAATGGTGCAGTCGCCAACCGAACATTTTAGAGGCCCTCCTGTTGAAAAAAGCTGTTTTAAAGTTTATTTCCTGCAATTCAACACATTTTGCCATGTGGCGGAGATAAAATGATACAGTTTTAAAGCAAATGTCGTGCAAATTCTACATATTGCCATGAAAAAAAAATACATTGCCTACAGAAAGTATTCATAACCCTTGACTTTTTTCCACATTTTGTTACAGCCTACATTTAAAATGAATTAAATGGAGATTTTGTGTCACTAGTCTATGAACAATACCCCATAATGTCAAAGTGGAAACAGCTCAGGGATTTCACCATGAGGCCAATGGTGACTTTAAAACAGTTACAGAGTTTAATGGCTGTGATAAGAGAGAACTGAGGATGGATCAACAACATTATACAGTGGCTTGCGAAAGTATTCACCCCCCTTGGCATTTTTCCTATTTTGTTGCCTTACAACCTGGAATTAAAATTGATTTTTGGGGGGTTTGTATCATTTGATTTACACAACATGCCTACCACTTTGAAGATGCAAAATATGTTTTATTGTGAAACAAACAAGAAATAAGACCAAAAAAAAAACAGAAAACTTGAGCGTGCATAACTATTCACTCCCCCAAATTCAATACTTTGTAGAGCCACCTTTTGCAGCAATTACAGCTGCAAGTCTCTTGGGGTATGTCTCTATAAGATTGGCACATCAAGCCACTGGTACTTTTGCCCATTCTTCAAGGCAAAACTGCATCCAGCTCCTTCAAGTTGGATGGGTTCCGCTGGTGAACAGCAATCTTTAAGTCATACTACAGATTCTCAATTGGATTGAGGTCTGGGCTTTGACTAGGCCATTCCAAGACATTTAAATGTTTCCCCTTAAACCACTCGAGTGTTGCTTTAGCAGTATGCTTAGGGTCATTGTCCTGCTGGAAGGTGAACCTCCGTCCCAGTCTCAAATCTCTGGAAGACTGAAACAGGTTTCCCTCAAGAATTTCCCTGTATTTAGCGCCATCCATCATTCCTTAAATTCTGACCAGTCCCTGATGCTGCCACCACCATGCTTCACTGTGAGGATGGTGTTCTCGGGGTGATGAGAGGTGTTGGGTTGCGCCAGACATAGCGTTTTCCTTGATGGCCAAAAACCTCAATTTTAGTCTCATCTGACCAGAGTACCTTCTTCCATATATTTGGGGAGTCTCCCACATGCCTTTTGGCGAACACCAAACATGTTTGCTTATTTTTTTCTTTAAGCAATGGCTTTTTTCTGGCCACTCTTCCGTAAAGCCCAGCTCTGTGGAGTGTACGGCTTAAAGTGGTCCTATAGACAGATACTCCAATCTCCGCTGTGGAGCTTTGCAGCTCCTTCAGGGTTATCTTTGGTCTCTTTATTGCCTCTCTGATTAATGCCCTCCTTGCCAGGTCTGTGAGTTTTGGTGGGCGGCCCTCTCTTGGCAGGTTTGTTGTGATGCCATATTCTTTCCATTTTTTAATAATGGATTTAATGGTGCTCCGTGGGATGTTCAAAGTTTCTGATATGTTTTTTATAACCCAACCCTGATCTGTACTTCTCCACAACTTTGTCCCTGACCTGTTTGGAGAGCTCCTTGTTCTTCATGGTGCCGCTTGCTTAGTGGTGCCCCTTGCTTAGTGGTGTTGCAGACTCTGGGGCCTTTCAGAACAGGTGTATATATACTGAGATCATGTGACATTTAGATTGCACACAGGTGGACTTTATTTAACTAATTATGTGACTTCTGAAGGTAGTTGGTTGTTAGGGGCTTCATAGCAAAGGGGGTGAATAAATGTGCACGCACCACTTTTCCTTGATTTATTTTTTAGAATAGTTTGAAACAAGTTTTTTAAATCATTTCACTTCATCAATTTGGACTATTTTGTGTATGTCCATAACATGAAATCCAAATAAAAATCCATTTAAAATACAGGTTGTAATGTAACAAAATAGGAAAAACGCCAAGGGGGATGAATACTTTTGCAAGGCACTGTATATACACACTCCAGTCGTACTTTATCAAAAGCCTTTTCAAAGTCAGATATGAATAGCAGGCCTGGGTTCCCAGATTTTTATTGTTATCTATATGTTCTGTTAGACCTTCTATTTCCTTTGTTAGTATGGACTCTTTTGACCTAAAATGCTTTTGTTGAGTACTGAATTGCATGGCCTCTAAAGACACATTTAAAAGTGTCCCATACAATAAGGGGATTTGCTTTACCTATGTTATATCAGAAAAATTAAGTTATACATTCCTCTGTCCGTTAAAAACAAGTTATCAACCAATAGGCTTTGATACAATTTCCAATATCATCGCCCACATGGAAATTCACTAAGAGTAATGTATATGCCAATTATCTGATGGTCCGACTGCATTCTGTCCCATATCAACACTTTCAAAACTTTTGGTGCCAATGAGAATGACATAAGAAAGAAGTCAAGACGACTAGCTTGATTGAGCCTCCGCCATGTATATTTCACTAGGTCAGGATATTTAAGCCTCCATATATCCACTTGTTCCAATATATCCATGACATTCATGATTTCCTTAAGAGCATGAGGGTGATAGTTTGTAGTGTGATTTCCTTTATGGTCCATTAAGGTATTTAAAACAGTCTTATAATCTCCCACCATAATAATAGTGTCTTGTATTGCTTGCAGGGTTGATAATTTATTATCTACATTATTTGGTCCGTAAAGGTTAATGAGACATATCTGTTTATGGTCCAATAACATATTTAAAATCATCCATCTACATTTATATTTTAGTCATTTAGCAGACGCTCTTATCCAGAGCGACTTACAGTTATTATATATTTTTTCATACTGGCCCCCGTGGGAATCAAAACCAGAACCCTGGCGTTGCAAACGCCATGCTCTACCAACTGAGCTACAGCAAACCGCTCGCCCACACGACACCATATACGTGGTCTGTGGTTGTGAGGCCAAATGGAGGCGGCTTATGGTAGAAAAATGTACATGTAATTATCTGGCAACAGCTCTGGTGGACATTCCTGTAGTCAGCATGCCAATTACACGCTTCCTCAAAACTTGCGACATCTGTGGCATTGTCCCCCTCCCAGTCCTTTTCCCACACAACTTCATTTGGAGTTGTTGAATGAGTTTCCTGTAAACAATATATATTATATTCCTTCTCTTTGATCCAGGTAAATATTGTCATTATTTTGTTATTATCTACTAAGAAATTACAATTATAACTGGCTATACTTATTTTACCACTTACCATAATGAGATACAAGTTTCAAATCTATTTATCATAATATATGTTTGTAAATGTAGCAATAAAAAGTACCATAGTGATTGAGTGTCCATACAGCTGTACCATGATATTTGCATTGCTACTAAGTAACCCTCCAATTGTTCTCCACAATTCCACCTGCTAAAGCCCCTCCCCATCCCAAGTTAGGTTGTGACCGGCAGACCACCCCCGTCCCCCCGGATCCCTAGGCCCCCCGAGAGGCCAGGACCCATCCTTCGAAAACAGCACACAGTGCCACCCACATAACAGATGCAGATCAACCGCTAAAAGTATTTCCAATGCTCTCACCTCAATTTGGGTGGTCCTCTGTAGCTCAGCTGGTAGAGCACGGCGCTTGTAACGCTAAGGTAGTGGGTTCGATCCCCGGGACCACCCATACACAAAAAATGTATGCACGCATGACTGTAAGTCGCTTTGGATAAAAGCGTCTGCTAAATGGCATATTATTATTATTATTATTATATTATTAATTTAGCATTACACCTGTCCACACACTCAATCAAACAGACTCCAACCTCTCCACAATGGCCAAGACCAGAGAGCTGTGTAAGGACATCAGGGATAAAATTGTAGACCTGCACAAGGCTGGGATGGGCTACAGGACAATAGGCAAGCAGCTTGGTGAGAAGGCAACAACTGTTGGCGCAATTATTAGAAAATGGAAGAAGTTCAAGATGACGGTCAATCACCCTCGGTCTGGGGCTCCATGCAAGATCTCACCTCGTGGGGCATCAATGATCATGAGGAAGGTGAGGGATCAGCCCAGAACTACACGGCAGGACCTGGTCAATGACCTGAAGAGAGCTGGGACCACAGTCTCAAAGAAACCATTAGTAACACACTACGCCGTCATGGATTAAAATCCTGCAGCGCACGCAAGGTCCCCCTGCTCAAGCCAGCGCATGTCCTGGCCCGTCTGAAGTTTGCTAATGACCATCTGGATGATCCACAGGAGGAATGGGAGAAGCTCATGTGGTCTGATGAGACAAAAATAGAGCTTTTTGGTCTAAACTCCACTCGCCGTGTTTGGAGGAAGAAGAAGGATGAGTACAACCCCAAGAACACCATCCCAACCGTGAAGCATGGAGGTGGAAACATCATTCTTTGGGGATGCTTTTCTGCAAAGGGGACAGGACGACTGCACCGTATTGAGGGGAGGAAGGATGGGGCCATGCATCGCGAGATCTTGGCCAACAACCTCCTTCCCTCAGTAAGAGCATTGAAGATGGGTCGTGGCTGGGTCTTCCAGCATGACAACGACCCGAAACACACAGCCAGGGCAACTAAGGAGTGGCTCTGTAAGAAGCAGCTCAAGGTCCTGGAGTGGCCTAGCCAGTCTCCAGACCTGAACCCAATAGAAAATCTTTGGAGGGAGCTGAAAGTAGGTATTGCCAAGCGACAGCCCCGAAACCTGAAGGATCTGGAGAAGGTCTGTATGGAGGAGTGGGCCAAAATCCCTGCTGCAGTGTGTGCAAAGCTGGTCAAGACCTACAGGAAACATATTATCTCTGTAATTGCAAACAAAGGTTTCTGTACCAAATATTAAGTTATACTTTTCTGATGTATCAAATACTTATGTCATGCAATGAAATGCAAATTAATTACTTAAAAATCATACAATGTGATTTTCTGGATTTTTGTTTTAGATTCCACCTCTCACAGTTGAAGTGTACTTATGATAAAAATTACAGAACTCTATATGCTTTGTAAGTAGGAAAACCTGCAAAATCGGCAGTGTATCAAAAACTTGTTCCCCCCACTGTATATATATATATATATATATATATATATATATATATATATATATATATATATATATTATGTATATATACTGTACATACACTGAATAAAAATATATACACTACCAGTCAAAAGTTTGGACACACCTACTCATTCAAGGGTTTTTCTTTTCTTTTTACTATTTTTTACATTGTAGAATAATAGTGAAGACATCAAAACTATAAAATAACACATATGGAATCATGTAGTGACCAAAAAAGCGTTAAACAAATCAAAATATATATTATATTTGAGATTGTTCAAATAGCCACCCTTTGCCTTGATGACAGCTTTGCACACTCTTGGCATTCTCTCAACCAGCTTCATGAGGTCGTCACCTGGAATGCATTTCAATTAACAGGTGTGCCTTGTTAAAAGTTAAATTGTGGAGTTTCTTTCTTTCTTAATGAGTTTGAGCCAATCAGTTGTGTTGTGACAATGTAAGGAGGTATACAGAAGATAGCCCTATTTGGTAAAAGACCAAGTCCATATTACGGCAAGAACAGCTCAAATATGCAAAGTTTCGTCAAGTGCAGTCGCATAAACCATCAAGAGCTATGATGAAACTGTCTCTCATGAGGACCACCACAGGAATGGAAGACCCAGAGTTAACTCTGCTGCAGAGGATACATTAATTAGAGCTACCAGCCTCAGAAATTGCAGCCCAAATATACAGTTGAAGTCAGAAGTTTACATACACCTTTGCCAAATACATTTAAACTCAGTTTTTCACAATTCCTGACATTTAATCCTAGTAAATTCTCTGTCTTGGGTCAGTTAGGATCACCACTTTATTTTAAGAATGTGAAATGTCAGAATAATAGTAGAGAGAATTATTTATTTCAGCTTTTATTTCTTTCATCACATTCCCAGTGGGTAAGAAGTTTACATACACTCAATTAGTATTTGGTAGTATTGCCTTTAAATTGTTTAACTTGGGTCAAACGTTTCAGGTAGCCTTCTACAAGCTTCACACAATAAATTGGGTGAATTTTGGCCCATTCCTCCTGACAGAGCTGGTGTAACTGAGTCAGGTTTGTAGGCCGCTTTTTCAGTTCTGCCCACAAATGTTCTATAGGATTGAGGTCAGGGTTTTGTGATGGCCACTCCAATACTTTGACTTTGTTGTCCTTAAGCCATTTTGCCACAACTTTGGAACTGTGCTTGGGGTCATTGTCCATTTGGAAGACCCATTTGCGGCCAATCTTTAACTTCCTGACTGATGTCTTGAGATGTTGCTTCAATATATCCACATAAATTTCCATCCTCATGATGTCATCTACAGTGGGGAAAAAAGTATTTAGTCAGCCACCAATTGTGCAAGTTCTACCACTTAAAAAGATGAGAGAGGCCTGTAATTTTCATCATACGTACACGTCAACTATGACAGACAAAATGAGGGAAAAAAATCCAGAAAATCACATTGTAGGATTTTTTATGAATTGATTTGCAAATTATGGTGGAAAATAAGTATTTGGTCAATAACAAAAGTTTCTCAATACTTTCTCATATACCCTTTGTTGGCAATGACACAGGTCAAACGTTTTCTGTAAGTCTTCACAAGGTTTTCACACACTGTTGCTGGTACTTTGGCCCATTCCTCCATGCAGATCTCCTCTAGAGCAGTGAGGTTTTTGGGGCTGTCGCTGGCCAACACGGACTTTCAACTCCCTCCAAAGATTGTCTATGGGGTTGAGATCTGAAGACTGGCTAGGCCACTCCAGGACCTTGAAATGCTTCTCACGAAGCCACTCCTTCGTTGCCTGGGCGGTGTGTTTGGGATCATTGTCATGCTGAAAGACCCAGCCACGTTTCATCTTCAATGCCCTTGCTGATGGAAGGAGGTTTTCACTCAAAATCTCACGATACATGGCCCCATTAATTCTTTCCTTTACACGGATCAGTCGTCCTGGTCCCTTTGCAGAAAAACAGCCCCAAAGCATGATGTTTCCACCCCCATGCTTCACAGTAGGTATGGTGTTCTTTGGATGCAACTCAGCATTCTTTGTCCTCCAAACACGACGAGTTGAGTTTTTACCAAAAAGTTCCATTTTGGTTTCATCTGACGATATGAAATTCTCCCAATCCTCTTCTGGATCATCCAAATGCACTCTAGCAAACTTCAGACGGGCCTGGACATGTACTGGCTTAAGCAGGGGGACACGTCTGGCACTGCAGGATGGTAGGCTTTGTTACTTTGGTCCCAGCTCTCTGCAGGTCATTCACTAGGTCCCCCCCCGTGTGGTTCTTGATTATTTTGACCCCACTGGGTGAGATCTTGCGTGGAGCCCCAGATCGAGGGAGATTATCAGTGGTCTTGTATGTCTTCCATTTCCTAATAATTGCTCCCACAGTTGATTACTTCAAACCAAGCTGCTTACCTATTGCAGATTCAGTCTTCCCAGCCTGGTGCAGGTCTACAATTCTGTTTCTGGTGTCCTTTGACAGCTCTTTGGTCTTGGCCATAGTGGAGTTTGGAGTGTGACTGTTTGAGGTTGTGGACAGGTGTCTTTTATACTGATAACAAGTTCAAACAGGTGCCATTAATACAGGTAACGAGTGGAGGCCAGAGGAGCCTCTTAAAGAAGAAGTTACAGGTCTGTGAGAGCCAGAAATCTTGCTTGTTTGTAGGTGACCAAATACTTACTTTCCACCATAATTTGCAAATAAATTCATTAAAAATCCTACAATGTGATTTTTTGGATTTTTTTCTCTCAATTTGTCTGTCATAGTTGACGTGTACCTATGATGAAAATTACAGGCCTCTCTCATCTATTTAAGTGGGAGAACTTGCACAATTGGTGGCTGACTAAATACTTTTTTCCCCCACTGTATTTTGTGAAGTGCACCAGTCCCTCCTGCAGCAAAGCACCCCCACAGCATGATGCTGCCACCCCCGTGCTTCAGGGTTGGGATGGTGTTCTATGGCTTGCAAGCCAACCCATTTTCCTCCAAACATAACGATCTTTTAAATTATATCAATCTCAACCGTTTATCTTTTCCAGTGATGAAGACATGGATGTCTCATGGTATGGTGGGGTATGCAAAATAGGTCAACTTTGACTCTTGAATGTTTTGGCATTCAAGTCCAAAAGGTGACTTTCTGAGCACTTCTACAATGGGCAAATATGTATGGAGGGTTTCGATTGAATTCAAATGAATTTACCCAAAGGTGTGTAACCACAAAAATCCATAAACCACAAACACCTCTCAAGACAGACAGACAGACAGCCGGCAGCACTAAGTTGAGGTAGGGAAAGTAAAGTTACAGCTAGAGATAAGAAATACAGAGAAAGGAAAGGAGAAATTGATTATAAAAGAATAGGAGACAGAGAAAGACATGGATAGATGTACTCTGGAAGCAAGAGAGAGAGAGAGAGAGAGAGAGAGAGACGGGGGGGGGGGGGGGGGGGGGGGATAGGTAGACCTAGAATTCTAGAGGGCGTGTTCTTTACCTGTAGCTGTGGCTCTGCTGGACCTGGATGGCCCCTCCTTCTGAGGTTTGCACGCGAGCAGCATCTGTCTGTGCTGATGTAGAGACGGCTCCATGCAATGTATGGCATTCCCCTGCTGACTCCGCTCTCCACCTCTGCCACCCAGGCTCTCCCCCACACCCTCCAGGTCAGGGCTGCATCCCTCCGGGGCCCGCCCGACCCCGGCCTCCTCTCCCCTGCTGGGCCTCCTCTGGGCCTGGGGGACGTGAGGATCCTGGGGCCGTGTATGGACCATCAGCCTGACCTGGGGGGTGGGAGTGGGTCTGTGGCTGTGATGCAGCTCTGGTTCCTCATCCTCAGGGATGGGGTTGTACCAGATCTCCCCCTCATCGTCCGCATCATTCTCCTCGGCCGGGTCCACACACCTGGGATGGGGCGCCACACAGGCGTGGCCCATGCTAACGAGGGGCAGGTGTAGGCGGAGGGGGCGGGATAGGGGTGGCCCGGTAGGGTTTAGGTTCTCTGGGGAGGGGCTAAGAGGGGGGAGGGGAGCTTGTCCTTGTCCTTGTCCATTGTATTCTTCTGCTCCCAGAAAGCACTGGGGGTCGTCCGTGGTGTGATGCGGCCTCCCAGAGCTCTGCTGGAGCCAGTTACGTTTTTTGGAGACGGTGATGGTGTTGAGCGGGGGTCTCCATAGCGATGGCTCGACGGCCTTGCCCCCGCCCACATCACAGCCATTGGAGAAGGAGGAGTGGTCATTCTCTATCAGAGCTGCAGGAGAGAGAGAGAGAGAGAGAGAGAGAGAGAGAGAGAGAGAGAGAGAGAGAGAGAGAGAGAGAGAGAGAGAGAGGTGTCAGACTGTAGAACAGAAGAGAGACTGAGGCTGCATCTGAAATGGCATCCTATTGTCTGGTCCAAAGTAGTGCACTATGTAGAGAAAAGGATGCCATTTTGGACGCATCCTAATACTGATATCTCACCGCGACCATCTGCTTACCTATACCCCTTTATACAGGGGCCCTAAGACACAAAGAGACATCCCGGCAACTATCACTGTGGAAACTGTGGTGGCTGTTTTACAACCCTTATCACCACCTGTTGAATCATAGCCTCCCACTTGTTTTCTAAACCCAACATTTGATTAACTGATTATATTTGCCTTGGGATGATAACGTTGTGCCTTTGCTGCTTTCTCGCTCTCTCTCTCTCGCTCTCCCCCTCTCTGTCTCTCACACTCACACTCTCAACCACAAACACACTATTCAAAGACCAAACACGCCATCTCTCCTCACGGCTGTATTTCACTTCCAACAGTCAGAATGAAATGCGTGTTGGTTAATATCCTCCTCTCCTGCCTCTGCTCTATTTTGACCAAACACAAACGTTTTAATTCCTATGCTACAAGCCCTGCAGGCCTCTAGAACACCTCCTCGCTGTACCCCAATGGCACATTATGCTCCAATGACTTCCCATCTCGGGAATGTCGGCTTGGGGAATGTGTGAGCTCAGACTTAATAGGAGATAACAGAAAGAGAGATGGGATAGAGTCAGAGCGCCTCAAACAGTCTTTACACTCCTCAAACAGAGCGGAAAGCAAATCTGACAGCTGTGAAAATAGAAAAGCGAGGGATCAGGAGGGGATGGAGGGATGAGCATTATGGTTGGGGCGGTTGAAATATACTGAACAAAAATATAAACGCAACATGCAACAATTTCAAAGATTTTACTGAGTTACAGTTCATCAGTTGGTCACAGATAAAAATAAATATAAAGTAGGGGCGTGGATCAGAAAACGAGTCACTATACTGGTGTGACCACCATTTGCCTCATGCAGCTCGACACATCTCCTTCGCATAGAGTTGATCAGGCTGTTGATTGTGGCCTGTGGAATGTTGTCCCACTTCTCGTCAATGGCTGTGCGAAGTTGCTGGATATTGGCGGGAACTGGAACACGCTGTCCTACACGTCGATCCAGAGCACCCCAAACATGCTCAATGGGTGACATGTCTGGTGAGTATGCAGGCCATGGAAGAACTGAGACATTTTCAACTTCCAGGACTTGTGTACAGATCCTTGCGACATGGGGCCGTGCATAATCATGCTGAAACATGAGTTGATGGCTGCGGATAAATGGAACCACAATGGGCCTCAGGATCTCTTCATGGTATCTCTGTGCATTCAAATTGCCATCGATAAAATGCAATCGTGTTCATTGTCCATAGATTATGCCTGCCCATACCATAAACCCCACCGCCACCATGGGGCACTCAGTTCACATTTACATTTACGTCATTTAGCAGACACTCTTATCCAGAGCGACTTACAGTTAGTGAGTGCATACATTTTTCATACTGGCCCCCCGTGGGAATCAAACCCACAACCCTGGCGTTGCATGCGCCATGCTCTACTAACTGAGCTACAGCAAACCGCTTGTGAGGCCAAATGGAGGCGGCTTATGGTAGAAAAATGAACATGTAATTATCTGGCAACAGCTCTGGTGGACATTCCTGCAGTCAGCATGCCAATTACACGCTTCCTCAAAACTTGCGACATCTGTGGCATTGTGTTGTGTGAGTTACCTTTTATTGTCCCCAGCACAAGGTGTTCAATCAGCTGCTTGATATACCACACCTGTCATGTGGATGGATTATCTTGGCAAAGGAGAAATGTTCACTAACAGGGATGTAAACACATTTGTGCACAAAATTTGATATAAATAAGCTTTTTGTGTGTATAAACCATTTCTGGGATATTTTATTTCAGCTCATGAAACAATGGACCAACACTTTACATGTTGCGGTTATATTTATGTTTAGTGAAAGTACAGCCAGTGGCAATACGAACATGAATAGGGATCGATAAAAGGTGGTGATGTGGTGGCTTCTGGCTTGATATTTCTCAAAGGGTTCAGAGAGTTACATCCCCATTCAACGCAAGAAGAGAAGGGGTGTCTCTGTGTGTCTGTACAGTTCGCAGCTATGTGTGTACTGTTTACCTAGCAGAGTAAGTAACCCTGCAAATCATGCAAAGATTGTCTGTCTGACAGGTCGTGTTTTTCTGCTGGGAGTGTTGACAAGCCATGGGCTGATGAGCAGATGCTGCCTGCTGGGAGAGAAAGAGAAAAACCGACAAGCTGGATCTGAGTGGAGCAGTGCTAAGGCCTGGATCCTGCTGCAACACGCATGGCATGGCAGTCATCTCTCTGTAAAGACTATTTTGATACGTGCCTTCTCCTCTCTCAGCCCAGACGAGCCCCTCCACAGGACACGCTAATGAAAAGTTACAATTTCCTTAAGGAAACAGATTTCATGTTAGCCAGTCTACAACCACCAAATTACAGACTGACTGCCGAGAATATTTTCACATATAAAACAATATACATAGGATCCAGGGTTGGGTGTTGGTGTGTGTGTGTGCACTCGTCTGTGTCTGAATAAATTGCTTTCCATTTATTTTTAACCAGTACAATAAAAGTACTGGAATTTTTGAAAACAGATATCACATGGCCTGTAAAGTTGCGTAAATTGTCTAGCTATTCTGAGTTCTCTAGATTGAGACTAAGATGCTTTTGTGTGTTTGTGTCTATGTGTGTGTATGTGTGTGTGTGTGTGTTTGTGTCTGTGTGCGTGTGTGTGCGTGCGTGCGTGTGTGGACTTTATGGTGAGAGACTAGAGCTCCACTGGGATAAGTTCCCTGAAAAAATCTACCTCTCTGAGCTAAGGCTTGGGTTTCCTCTCCTGACATCGACAGACTGCACTTTATTAATGCTTAATGAAAGCAACGGTTGACTTTGGAATAATTGCTGCCATCTACACTACCCAAATCCCTTAATAAGAGCCTTAAAGTTTAAAATTCCTCTCTCCACAACAGATGTTTTTTTGGACATTGAATAATTTCATGCTTCCTGAGAAAAAATATTCCTGTGATTCTGTTCCTTTAGCCTATTATTTTACATTTTAGTCATTTAGCAGACGCTCTTATCCAGAGCGACTTACAGTTAGTGAGTGCATACATTTTCATACTGGCCCCCCATGGGAATCAAACCCACAACCCTGGCGTTGCAAGTGCCATGCTCTACCAACTGAGCTACACGGGACTCTTATATAAGACACTTAGTTACTGGCATATAAAACAGCTTTCATTGGTTTGAACCAGGGATGGGCATTTTTGATGGGGGTGGGGGCCACAAAAAATCGGAACTCATCATGAGGGGCTGTAGTGGCTTGCAGGGTCTGCATACCCACATCCATACCTCATACATCAGAGCCAGCCCTAGCAGTCAGAGCCAGTGACTGACATAACAAGACAAAAACTGCTGATGGACAACCCAATTTAAGAATTGCACCTTGTGTATTCTACTGTTCTAACTCTCAATACTAAGTTGAGACCCCGACTGAGTCCCCCCACTGAGACCTACAAAAGGTGGCCCATGACAAAAGGTGGTCCATGGGCTGCCAGTTGCCCATTCCTGGTTTGAACAGAAGCCACTTCATAATATGGCTGACCCCATTTAGTCGACAGGTCGATTGTTTGGTCAATAGGCTGTTGGTCACCGAGATTTCTTTAGTGGAGTAGTAGCAAATAAAAACATTTTTAAAAATAACATTATATATATATATATATATATATATATCATGGTGTACAAGACACCTGTCTGATTCGCCCTGAGTGGACTGATCCATTGTGGAGGCCGTGGGGATGGCACAGTCCATCAGTCTAAGACATGTGCTGCTGAAATATTATATGCTTATATTACATAAACAATGGTGCAACACTAATAAAAATAATATTATTTGATAACAAATGCGCTTTCTCCCGCGTTGGATAGCGGTCGCTGTCCACAGTTCTGAAACACATCAGTGCAATGTTGAACTGCCGCCTTTTCCTAGACCCTGTTGCTATGTGCATAATAGCAACGTTAACCAGGATATTGGTGTTGAGAACAATGCCGGAGGCAGCAGCAGAATGAGTAGATGAGAAAACAGCCCTTGCCTTATTGTCTAAGAAAAGTGAGGAGAGAGGAAACCCGAAGTTAATTAGGTCTATAATCAATAGCTTAACTGTTAAATGTGCCTGGCTTTATATACAGTGGGGAAATTTTTTATTTAGTCAGCCACCAATTGTGCAAGTTCTCCCACTTAAAAAGATGAGAGAGGCCTGAAATTTTCATCATAGGTACACGTCAACTATGACAGACAAATTGAGAAAAAAAATCCAGAAAATCACATTGTAGGATTTTTTATGAATTTAATTGCAAATTATGGTGGAAAATAAGTATTTGGTCACCTACAAACAAGCAAGATTTCTGGCTCTCACAGACCTGTAACTTCTTCTTTAAGAGGCTCCTCTGTCCTCCACTCGTTACCTGTATTAATGGCACCTGTTTGAACTTGTTATCAGTTTAAAATACACCTGTCCACAACCTCAAACAGTCACACTCCAAACTCCACTATGGCCAAGACCAAAGAGCTGTCAAAGGACACCAGAAACAAAATTGTAGACCTGCACCAGGCTGGGAAGACTGAATCTGCAAAAGGTAAGCAGCTTGGTTTGAAGAAATCAACTGTGGGAGCAATTGTTAGGAAATGGAAGACATACAAGACCACTGATAATCTCCCTCGATCTGGGGCTCCACGCAAGATCTCACCCCGTGGGGTCAAAATGATCACAAGAACGGTGAGCAAAAATCCCAGAACCACACGGGGGGACCTAGTGAATGACCTGCAGAGAGCTGGGACCAAAGTAACAAATCCTACCATCAGTAACACA